TTTTTTTTTGTTGTTGTTTTTTAATAGTTTTTTTTTTATGTCGACTTTATATCACCCACAAATTAAATGACTTAACTGTGTTTACAAGTTGGTAATGTTTGCTTTTTCACTGGTAGGGTGTGATGGTGTTTAAACTGGAGTTTAAGCAAACACACTGGTCATGGGTGAAATATTCAAACAGAAACCACAGGCTCACTCTTTCACTGTAAAAGATGCATGTATAGACATCTGCACACTTATATCTATATAATGGCTCACATGTTCACAGTTGAATTTTTTAACAGTACAGTTTATTGTCAGAAATACAATATATGACTTTCCAAGTTAAAGAGAGATCTGGAAGGGTAAACAGTGAAGAGATTAAAGGTCTTTTAGTGATATCTTTAGTACGGTACCGTACTAAATGTGTACGGTATAACTCCACTTGATAATGTAGCAGTGGTTATGAGTTCATCCATTTGGACGGGTAAAGCAAGGTGGACACGGTGGAAACTGTCAGTCTGAATGTGCAGTGGAACCACTGCTTAGGAAAGGTGGCGTGATTTTGCAATTTGCAATAGAGCTGGAAGTTATCCAAGCTCTCTGTTGCACTAAATACACAGTGAGGTTCAAAGCACAGGGGAGATCTGGTGATTCTAAATTGGTATAGATGTGAGGTAGATAAAATGCCCCAGATAGTAAGATGACATTAAACTGATGCAGAGTTTTCATCCACATTATCATTATAGTCAAGATTGAAATCTCAGTGCTATATAAATGTTGGATCAATGTTAAAATACTGATGAAATCTGACAGTGTATGTGTATGACAGTGTGATTTATAGTTGAAAAGTTGTGGCTTTCTAGTTAACCGGGAAATAAAAGCTATTATCAGTTAGACTGTTCCATCGCACCCCTCTCCCAGTGGTACACCCCATCTGTACATATATTGCTGAACATGCAATACATTGACTCATATTGTAGATGTATGACTGTCACCATGGTCATTATTAGACATATCAAAAATGTCATTAACTGAAGTTAGATTGCTAACGTAACTGATACTTCAGGCGGATTATATTAGCTAGGATGAGTTAGTGAAACAGAGAGACATGTCTTGGGTGGAAAATTTCAAATCTGACCGAATTATGCCCTTGCATATTAGTACTGTCAATAGATTAAAAAATTAACTAATTAATTGCACAATGTTCTGTAATTAATCGTGATTAATCGCAATTACTTGTTCAGTAGCCCTGTTGCAATTACATTTTTTCAACTTTATATTTAAGCATGTAACTGAAATGTATGCAATATAATGAAGTAAATGCAGAATAAACACAAAGAATGTATGCTTAAATTCAAAGAGAATTTGAATAGATTTCTTCAGTCTTTTAGCATAGGTTATCTCCTGTGAAGTACAACTTTATAAAAAACCTATATACTAACAGGTAAGTATATACTAATATATTATATATACTAGTGCTGTCAAACAATTAAAAATTTTAATCAGATTCTTCACAGGGTTACTGTGGATTAATTTTGATTAATCACAATTAGATATCATTCATTTTTATTCTATATTGATCGCATTTCATTTTGCATGAGCAAACAGAATCGAGAAAAAAGGGAAAATTTACGCACTTAATATGTTTATTGAACATCTTGAACATTCATGTTAACAAAACACTCTGTAAACATTTATCCGTTCTCTCTGTCACTCTTTGGGAAGGCACTTCAAGTCCTTGAAAGGAGGAACCAAAGCTATGTAAAGAGTGTGTTCTCAACCAGTGTTGGGAAGGTTACTTTTAAAATGTATTCCACTAAAGATTACAGAATACATGCCCCAAAATGTATTTTGTAACGTATTCCGTTACGTTACTCAATGAGAGTAGCGTATTCTGAATACTTTGGATTACTTAATATATTATCATGCTGTTTACAACTGCATGAATATGATTTATTACTATTACTGAAGGTCCGCGGCTCCGAACCGTAGTAAAGGGACCTCTGGCTAATACGTCGGGTTCGTGTCGGGCTCGTAGCTGAAAACTAGCTTTACTTTGTTGTCTG